ATGAGACTGATGGAGAAATGACTATCAGAGGTAACAGTTAACTTGATAGTTTTGTGGGCCCGTCGTCCTATTAAAGAGGCTCAACGGGGGAAATCGTAGGATATGAGGAAATGGTCTCCCCTACCAAGGCATCTTGGTCATCATCTCCTCGAAATTCATGCGGCTTTTCGTCACCCATATGCTTGAGCATGCTCTCGACTTGTTCTCCTTGGCGGAGTAAGTCTTTCCATGAACGAGCTTCAACAGCGCCCATATTGGACAGAACGCTGATGGAGAGATTGTTCCGGCACATCTCGATGAGCGTGGCCTCGGAAACTCGATCGCGGGAATGCAGCGATCGGTTTCTGAATCTCTTGACAAAGTTGCTTACAGACTCTGTCTTCCTCTGCTTCACAGTTAGCAGGGTGGCCATAGATACTTCTGTGTCATCGTCGAAGAATCTGGCCACAAAGAGCCTTTCCATGTCCTTCCAGCAGGTGATGGACCCAGGCTCTAATCTGCGAAACCATTCAAAAGCGACCCCCTTGAGGGTACCAATGAACAGTCGAGTCATAATGGGATCGTTTCTCACTATGTGTCCAGTTTGCGTCTGGAAGTAGTAGATGTGCTGGGTAGGAGACCCCCTACCATTGAACTGCAGGAGGTCCAGCGGCTCGAACTTTGCCTGGTAGGAGACCGCATCCCATTCAATTGGATACGGTCTGACAACCCCCAGCTTGTTCACATGTTTCTGGAGCTTCAAGGCGTCGAGTTGACTTTGGAGATCATCAAACCTCGTGTCTCTTGGGTTATGACCCGAAGAGGACGCTCCTCCAGATGACTCGGATGAGGAGTCAGAAGACATGTAAGAAGGACCAGGCACCCTCTCTTTGTGTTTCGAGAATTTTTGCAAAGTCCGCGAGGTCCTCTCTTTCTTCTTCTCTCTTTGAAGCTGCTCCAGCATCTCCTTCATAGAGTTAAGGGTTGCTCGTTGCTCGTCGAGCCTCCTAGATATCTCCTCAGGGACGTCGGTCATGTGCACACTCACGTGCCTGCCTCGAATTGAGCTTGAAGTCTGCGACGTTGCCGTTGCCGAGCAATCATCGCCATCATGGTAAGAGACGGACGTCAGACCAGTGTAGGCAAACGGAGTGGCCACCCCCATTTGGGCGTGAATGTGTTGGCGAGGTTCATGCTGGCGAGGTTCGCCCGTCAGGCGAGATTGGCACAGTGTGCCTGCGCCTGTCTGGCGAGCTGTTGCTTCGCCTTTCTGGCGATCTTGGGCCGTCAGGCGAGCTTGGTGAAGTCCGCTTGTTTGATGAAGCCCTCTTGAACTACAGAGTTAGCCAGGCGCCCTTGGTTCTCTAAAATTGAGCACCTTGCTCACAGAGCGGGGCTCACCTAAACTGCTAGGCTCGCCCGATTTGAGCGGTTTGCCAAAACTGGGAACCTGGCTCAAGAGGTTGGGCTCGCCTAAACTGCTAGGCTCGCCCGATTTGAGCGGTTCGCCAAAAATGGAAACCTGGCTCAAGAAGTAGTTGGGCTCGCCTAAACTACTAGGCTCGTCCGATTTGAGCGGTTCGCCAAAAATGGAAACCTAGCTCAAGAAGTGGGGATCGCCTAAACTGTTAGGCTCGCCTGATTTGAGAGGTTCGCCGAAACTAGGAACCTGGCTCAAAGAGATGGACTCGCCTAAACTGCTAGGCTCACCCAATTTGAGCGGTTCGCCAAAAATGGGAACCTGGCTCAAGAGGTTGATTCCTCTCCAGCTTGAATAATAATTCAGGCTGTCGTGGAGGATGAGGGATTGTACCTCGAGAGGAGCGAGAGCTTTTCATCGCCGCCGTTTGGATCTTTTTGATCGAGGAGCGTTCATGTCGATGGCGGAGGCGTAGTCTGCATCGACACGAATGGTTGATTCCTTTTGCACAGGGGTCTGCGAGGATCGTTCATCGACCCACTCAGCAGCTCCTAGACCCGCATTCTCGAATCTCGGCTCAGCCTCAACTGGTTTGGGGGGAAAAGAACCTCCTGCCTTGGCTTGGGCAGATCCCTCAGGCTTGGTTGCCTCGGCCTCTTGGGGCTGGGCCACCTGCACGACTTTGCAGTCATCGCGAGATGTATTGCCGCCAGAAGAGGACGATCGTAAGTACCCGCATGACTCTGAGTTTTGTTCTGAACTTCTCTGATAAGGATTTAAAGGTAATTTTTATTGCCTACAACTTGTCCATACCCTTTTGGAACTGATGCCTCCTAATAGTGGGGTCTGTAACAAGATAAGGAGCATATCGACTCAAGGAAGAAAACTCAGCCTCGTACTCGTCAACTGATCGCTATCCTTGCTTGAGTTCAACAAACTTACGCAAAAGCTCGTCCCGAGCTGACTGAGGGAAGTACTTCCTGTTGAAACGATATGTGAAGGTTTCCCGCGAAATGGGTCTCTCCAATGAGCCTTCTTTGCAGTCCACCAAATCCGAGCTGTATCTGTGAGCTGAACGTCCATGAGATCTACCCACTCTGCAGGGGGAATACGGGTCACCGTAAGGATAGTCTCCGTGACCTTGAGGAACTCCTCTACTGCTAAAGGTCCCTAGGCACCAGAGAAAGAAGGAGGTCGCATATACCGAAACTCTCTAACACTAGGCTCCGAGCGATGGGGATGCTGGGGCTGAGGCTCCCGCTGTAGCTGTCCTGCTAAGAGCTGCTGATTCGTGGGCAACCCCTGAATCATCGCCAAAAGCTGGCATGGATCTACGTCAGGCATTTGGCCACCACTACTGGACGGGTTATCGTTACTACGAGTACCCACCATGATTCTGAAGAAAATGGGGATCAAAAGGAAAACTAAGGTTAAAATCAAACAATATATTGGAAAATAGGAACTAAAACATAGTTATTAAGATAATAGTATAAGAACTTAATTGTAGTAGTACGAATGAAATATGATATGTATCCAAATCGTCCATTATATTCTCACTAATAGGAATCGGGATCGTGACCTGCATGGACCACCAAAAAAACTATCACGCCCCGTTTCCCAAAATACCCGGGAATTGGAACGTGAACAAGCCCGCGACGTATTAGATTGAGAAGAAATATACACTATCATTTTTTTCTTTTTTTCTTCTCAATCCAATACGCTAAGCGTCAAATACATAAAAACAATGCAAATGCACAGGTCCCCGATCTCAGATAGTGAAAATATAAAGACAACCCAGAATAAGAAATAGACATATCATCAATGGTAAATCATCCCGGACATAAAAATATGGGTCAAACATACCCTTATTATAAAATAGTCCAACTAGGAAATAGGAAATACATAGTCCATAAAGAAAATAATGTTAAAGTACTAAATCCATCATCAACTAAAGAAAAGTACGGTAAAAGAGTTTTAATGTCCAACTACTACTACGGAAGAAATCACTACGCTTCAGCTGGTTCTTCTACTCCTTCTGCAAGACACCCCTGCTAAGAATCTTCTGGCTCCTGTACGATTCCGAACTGAGGCTGTCCATCTCCTAAATCTGATGTACACCCAGAAAATAGGAGTACGTCAGCGTGTATAACACACGGCAAGATCCCCCAAGGCAGGAACAAATACAATAACAGTAATGATAATATATGTGTGGTCAATGCGATAACAGAAATAGAAATAGAACATGTGATGATAGTAATGACGATAGAGACATGCAACTGGAATACTAATAATCAGAATAATCCAAAAATCAACCAAGTAACAAGATCATGCAGGTAGCGATCAGAAACCATCCAAGCAACAAGATCATACAATAGATGGAATTAATACTTAAAAATCTACAACAAGAGACGTAGTACGTCGAGCGAAATAATCCAAACAAGAAAACCCTCATGTATATACCATATGTCTCAACTTATAGATAATTAAATATTGACCCCGATCTATGTATGAAAAGAAATACAACTGACCTACATATCACACAAGCATCCATATTCACCTTAAATAACAAGATCATGTACTATTCATTCTATAACTGGTCATTGGTCCACATCTCACACAACTATAACGCTCATATCATCGGATAACTGACTGATCGCAAATCACAAATATCCCAACTCCTCAGACCCACCCCGGTAACTACACAAACTTCACCGGCGCGAGCCCGAAATACAACCACAATCACAAATCTCATCTCCTCAGACCCACCTCGGTGACTACACAAACTTCACCGACGCGAGCCTGGAATATGCATCAACAATCCCAACCGCTCACATGGACCAAGACTTCTCATCCTAATTCTCGTAATTCCAGGTCAACTACACACGAGGTTCTAGATCCTAACTTTGTCATACAGGTCACTATAGTCATGAACTCCTAACAATTCTCAATCACAACAATGAACAATCAATGCAACTAATTATGTATAATAATATCATGACATATCAAATAGCCAAAAATTAAGAATTATAAATCATAAACAACGTCTACATAATATTTTCTAAATTAATTCATTTTAAATTATTTCTCTTAATAATTAATCTAAAATAATTCCTTTTCTAAAATATATTTCTTATAATTCATCATAATTTTTCTCAAATGATTACGTTCTCAAATAAATTCTTTTTAATTAATATAATTATCCAAAAATAATTTTGCTGACGAAATAAATTCTTTTTAATTAGTCATAATTGTTTTGAAAATACTGCTTATTATATTGTTATGATTTATCTAATATTATTTCACCAAAAAATGCCACACAGATAATTATATCATAATTCAAAATATGCAGATAATTCATAATAATCTAAAATGTAAAGAATGACAAACTAAGCAACGGGATCTTGCCTCGGGTATGTCAAACAAATCGACGTCGACGATGCGAGCCTACGACGGGGCGGTTCGCTTGATAACGAGCAGACGGAATGTTGGCAAAGCGCAGTTGGGTCTCGGACAGTCGATGGCGGGTTTGCGATCTGAAGGAACTTGACTACGATGAGATAAAGAGAACTTCAGGCGGTAGCGGCTAGCTCGGTGATGGTAAGTGGGCGTTCGACGAGCACGGCTTCGCAGGCTTGTGTAGCCCGGGGCGGTGGGCGCCCTCGAGTGGAGGTCGGAGGGCGTTCCGAGGTCGGGTTGAGGTTAGGGAAGCGGAGAGGAGAAGATGATGAGTGGAGCAGGCAGCAGGGCGTCTGGTGGAAGCTTGAGGCGGTGCTGATGAAGTGTTGAGGGAGGAAGAGGAGGAGGGGAGGGTCCGATGGGGCCCGGCGCTCAGTTGCGGCGGCAGGGCGAAGTAGTGGGGATCGTGGATCGTGGCGAGGTGATGGAGGCAGTTGCGTGTTGGGGAGGTCAGCTTGGATATCGAGCGTCGGTACTACGAACAGCAGGGAAGAGGATGGTGACGGGCGGTGGTCGCGGGGTCGATTCGCAGATGCGGGAGTTGGAACGGCGACTTGGCTTGAGCTGCGAGTCGAAGCTTCGCAGGGCTTTAGGTCGGAGCTGTGAGCGACGATTTGGGCGTGCGCACAAGCTTGAGGTGTGGCAGAGGTGTCGGTGGGGCTAGATGGGCGGCGTCGGTGGCTGGAGACAGGCGACGGAGTGAGGACAGAGACGCACGTTAGCGGAGGAAGGAGAGAGGTGAGAATCGATGGAGGTGGGATAGGTTCATCGGGCCGTTGAGCGTTGGTTCGGTGATTGGTGATGGAGGTGTGGAAATGAAGAGCAGTTGTAGAGCGGGAGAGGAGAGAGGAGTTGCGTGAGAGAGAGGAAGAGAGTGAGAGTGAGAGAGAGAGAGAGAGAGAGACGAAGAGAGAGAAAAAAAAGAGAGAGAGAGAGAGAGAGAGAGAAGAGGCTGACGAAATTATGTTGATAGGGGGATAGATGAGAGAGTACGGGGGAGGAGTGGGTTAGTTGAAACAGAGAGGAGAGAGGAATCGATTGGGCGCTGTGTGCGCCGTGAAACAGAAGGGATAACCCAAAAATATATACATATATATTTAATATATGAAGGAAATTTTAGCGTTTTGAAAATATTTAAAAATCAATATTAATATGATCATAAATTAAATAATTATGTAAAAGATTAATCTACATGATGAAAATGCGATACGTTGCTACTAATATAACAGTTGATACGAAGAGTAGTTCGAAAATATACACATTTGGTATAGTAAACGAGAAATAATAAT